CTGGGGGGGGATCAGGGGACAGCAGGTTGGGAGTGAGGGGCACCAGCAGGGCCTGGGAGGTGGGGAGCTGTGGGTTGGGAGTGAGGGGTACCAGCAGGACCAGGGAGCTCTTTTCTACTTAAACTATTTACTGCAGAGGCGGGTGATTATTTCAGGCATAGGGCCGCTTACTGAGTTTTGGCACGCCATCAAGGGCCGCATGACAGGCAGTCGGGGCAGATAAATATTAATTTTCTAAATTTTTTAGGGGGCCCGTGGGCTGGATAGAATGGCCTGGTGGGCTGCATCCGGCCCATGGGCTGCATTTTACCCGCCCCTGATTTACTGGGTCTGGATTGGCCATCAATGTTTACAAAATGGTCCTGGTACAAAAATGTTTGAGAACCACGGGGACAGGGAACCAGATCTTGGGAAGCAATTACTCTGAAGACTACTTAAAATCATGGTGTTTAATCAGCTTCCCATGAGCTTGTAGTGTGATGCTGAGGATGAAATAGGCAATGCGATTATAGGATGTAAAAATTGCAGAATACTGAATAAACAATGTTATATTACCTCTTCATTTGTCACTGGGTAGCTGTTACTGGAATACAATATCCAGTTCTGTTGTCCACAAGCAACATGTTGGCAAATGGGAGAAATTTGAGAGAACAGCTAAGAAAAAGAGGGAAGGACTGGAAAACATACCACATAATAGAAGGCTGAATGATCTCCCTGGTCTTTTAAAATCAAGGGGTGGCTTGATTCATAGAGGACTTTATTATTGTCTGTAAGAACAGATATGGTTGTTAATAGTCTCTTCATTCTAGTGACTAAAGGCAAAGCTAGAAAATTCAAAATAGAAATAAAGCAGAAACTGGACAGGAAGGGTAGTATAACCAGACATCTGCTGGGAGGAACAGGTGGCCAAAACAAGCCACTCAGCCACTCATGGAGGTTCTTATACTGTGTGCAGGACCTCCACCTAACCCAGGTGGTGTCCAGTCCCACCAGGGGTAGTGCCTTGCAAGCCCTGGTCTTAGCAACAAGGGATGATCTCATGGGGAACTTGTGAGTATACAGTAACCTGGGAGATAGTGACCATCACTTGGTAGTGTTCACTATCCAGTGAAGGATGAGAAAAATATCCAGTGATGCTAAAGTGTTAGACTTCAGAAGGGCCAACTTTAGTAAACTTAGAAGCCTAGTTAGTGAGGTGGCAGAACTCAAGAACATCAAGCAAATCGGGGCCCAGGAGGATTGGAGGTTTCGCAAGGCAGTGATTCTTGGGGCACAAAAGGAGTCTATTCCCTTACGCAGGAAAGGGGCTAAGGAGATAAAAAGCCCCTGTAACCCAGGTGGTACTCCAAGAGGTACCCCCTCTCCAGTTGAAGGGATCAAAGCACGTGCACAAGCGCTGTGGGAGGTATAGGGACTCTCCTCCCCCTATAGAGCAGAGCCAGACCACCAATGGGGCCTTAACCATATACCTTTTAATGAAAGAACAGTACTGGGAACATAACAGACATAAACCAGCGGATATAGGGGACACTAAAATGCCTCAAGGGGGCAGGATTCAACAAAGGTTAGACACTTACAATCATTGACAAAAGACAGGGTTAACAAAATATAAAACACAAACAGCAGAACAAACAGTACTGGTTGGTGAAATATAAAAAGCACAAAATGTCAAATAACAAGGAATATAGGACCTTAGTACCTGGATGGGGGAAAACATAGTGACCCCCTTCCACTGCAACAAGAATTTCTCCTTGTTGTTTCACTCACCCCAGCAGGGACTTGAACTCAGATCTCCAACAAAATAAGTAGAAACGCTACCACACAGCCACCAGTGCTAGCATTACTTCAAGCTGCAAGGGGTCTTGACCTTCCAGGAGCCCTGGCCTCATGTCGAGCTGCCTGGTCTCTGATTGGAGGAGCTGGAAGCAGAGCTGGGAACCTCTCAGGTCGCTGCTCTGATCATTGCTGGACCTCTCCTGCTGGCCACAGCCTCTCATAGGGGAACCTGGAGCCCAGTGGGGAGCCTCTCCTGCCAGCCACATGCTGCGCTGCTGAGGGTCCAACTGCTGCCTGCAGGTCCCACTCCTTCAGGTGCTTCTGGGGCAACTGCTCCCACCCCGCTGGCCCATCTCTTGCCAGCTCTTTGAAGCTCCTTCCTTGTGGTCCCTCACTGGTCTCTCCTGAGTCAGCCATGCTGCCCCTTTTGTCCCCCTCCAGGTTACCCAAGGGGCCAATCAGGGGACATGGAAGGTGAGTCTCTGGGGCCTGATTGGTGAGTAAAGGTAATCCCAAGTCCTCCAATCATCTTTTGCCCTTTCAAAACCCTGGGGCTAAGTTACTGCCAGCTAGCCCATCACACCCCTTTGGCTGAACAGGGAGCTCTAGGAAAGACTGGGGCAAGAGATTTATAGGCAGTGGAAACAGAGGGCTTCCACCAAGGAGGCATACACCTCCCTGGTGCGCTATTGCGGGGAGTCAGGCAAGCCAAGGCAGGACTGGAGCTTAGACTGGCTTCAACAATTAAGGACAACAGGACAACAAAAAGTCCTTCTACAGATACATCGTGAGCAAAAAGAAGATGCAAAGTAACATAGGGCCCCTGCAGGACAAATCAGGACAGTTGGTGGTTGATGCAAGGAAAAAGGCAGACCTCTTTAATGAATTCTTTGCTTCAGTATTCCTAAGTACTGTCCAAGACAATTCCCCCATCTTGAGCATAGACAGATGTACAAAAGGCACCAGACCGCCAAAGGTTAGTGCTGACTTAGTTAAGGAGCACTTGGAAGGGCTGGAAGGGTACAAGTCAGCCGGCCCAGATGACCTCCATCCACAGTTGCTTAAGGAATTGGCCAGTGTCATAGCTGAGCTGCTGGCACAGCTGTTTGAGCACTCATGGTGCTCCGGCCAGGTCCCTGAGGACTTGAAAAGGGCCAACGTGGTGCCCATTTTTAAGAAGGGGAGAAGGGATGAGCTGGCTAACTTTAGGCCAGTCAGTCTTACCGCTATCCCTGAGAAAATACTGGAAAAAATCATCAAAGAGTGTATTTGTGAAGACCCAGCAAAGGAAACCAGCACAGGTTTGTCACAGGTAAATCCTGCCTGACAAACCTTATAGCCTTTTATCACCAGGTCATACACTGCCTTGACACAGGAATTGAGGCTAATGTCATCTACCTGGATTTTAGGAAAGCCTTCGACACAGTTTCGCATCCTATTCTCATAGGGAAGCTAGCAGGCTGTGGAGTGGATGCCTGCACAGTCAGGTGGGTGGCCAACTGGCTTAGGGACCGCACCCAGAGAGTGGTGGTGGATGGATCATTCTCGGCCTGGAAGGAGGTGGGCAATGGCGTCCCGCAGGGTATGGTCCTTGGTGTTATTTAATATCTTCATCAGCGATTTGGACGAGGGTGCAGAGAGCACCCTCTCCAAGTTTGCAGATGATACCAAATTATGGGGCAAGGTTAACACACCAGAGGGCAGAGAGCAGATACAGGCTGACCTGGACAGGTTGGATCAATAGGCGGAACAAAATAGGGTGCAATTCAACAAAGATAAATGTAAGATACTCCACCAAGGAAGGAGGAATCCCCAGCACACCTATAGGTTGGGGGATGACCTCCTCAGCAGCTCGGAGGCTGAGAGAGATCTTGGAGTCATAGTTGACTCCAAGATGAACATGAGCCTGCAGTATAACAATGCCATTAACAAGGCCAATCGCACCTTGTTGTGTATTAGCAGATACATGACCAACAGATCAAGGGAGGTGATGCTCCCCCTCTATATGGTATTGGTCAGGCCACAGCTAGAGTACTGTGTCCAGTTTTGGGTGCCACACTTCAAGAGGGACATGGAGAATCTGGAGAGGGTTCAGAGGAGGACCACTCACATGATTAATGGCCTCCGTGAAAGACCCTACGAGGGGAGGTTAAGAGATCTGGATCTCTTCAGCCTTCACAAGAGATGTCTGAAGGGAGACCTTGTAGCCACCTATAGGTTTATCAAGGGAGGACAACAGGGAATCGGTGATGTGCTATTTACCAGAGTGCCCCAGGGAGTAACTAGGAATAATGGGTGCAAACTAGTTGAGAGTAGATTTAGGTTAGACATTAGGGGGAAATTTTTTACAGTAAGAGTGGCTAGAATCTGGAATGGGCTTCCAAGAGAGGGAGTACTATCACCTAACTTGGAGATCTTCAAGAGGAGGCTTGATAGTCACCTGGCTGTGGTCATCTGACCTCGGTCCTCTTTCCTGCCGAGGCAAGGGGTTGGACACGATGATCCATTGTGGTCCCTTTTGACTCTACAATCTATGCATCTATAAATCTATGAATAACCATTGGAATCTGCTTCCTATTCAGCATTGTTCAAATGGTTCTCTAAAGAAGAAACCCCGTTGACTCATAGCAATAAACCAGGTGATGATTTGTTTTTTGGAATTCACCATTTCAATTTTGAGTTGTCCTCTAAGCAATTCATTATTGTTTCTTTTTCCTGATGTTAATATAAGCTGAATCTTTATTAAATTACTTCCCCCAAGGTGAGTAGTGTTTTATGAGATAACGCATATTCTTTTTTTTTATATTGAAAATGTCCAAAATTCATTCTTTACATACATTCATCTTAACAAAACTTTGCTCATGCAAACTTTTGCAAACAAGAAATAGTGGAGGATTCTTTGTTTGAAAACAGATTTCTGTGTCATTGACCTACTCTGTATTCACATCAGCTTTTTATTTGCGTTTAATTCTAGTTTGTTCTTGTTTGACTATTCATGATGATAAAAACTAGAAGGTCTAAGGGCAGTCCCTCTCCCTAGCTCACAACTTAACAGTGAATTAAGGTTATGATCTTAGATGACTCTTAAATCACATGTATTGTATCTAAATATAATAATTAAGCAAACTGAACAAAAAGACACAGTACTATATCCATATTGTGGTGTGTAACTGAGCCACATACTCAGGTTGAAGTATTGGCATATTTACAACATTTACACAAGCAAATTATTATATAAAATATCCCATACTTGGAGACAGGCACAAACCTGTTTATAGGTCAGAAGATTACTTTTAATCACATAGGCAAATGCATTATTTCCATGGCAGAAAGTGAATCCAGATAACCAGGTGCTAGCCAGCATTCAATATACATAAACAAACCAGGGTGGTCAGAGATTTGTCTTATCAAAGCAAAACCTTATTCAGTCAAATTTAGCAAAAAATTATATCTGAAAAGTCTCAATGTTTTATTAGCCCAATAACCAAAACAACACCTTTGCACCTGCATCAAATGTAAGAATGAGCAAGCACAGTCCCTGATTTAAGAAAGCTGAAATCATTTCTAATACTTTTATCTTTTAAAAAGAGCTACGTTATTACATCTGAGTACTAACTCCCCCTCTATGTTTGTCTGTCTATATGCTTGAACAGTTGGTGACCGCATGGTTAATAATGTAATCTACTGTATGTGTTGAAATTACACCTAGATACTCCTTTGAAGCACCACTGTGTAAACACATGCAAAAAGAGACAATCTCTGCCCTGAAGAATTTATCATTCTAAGCTGTTCCTAATGTGTCCAGTCAGTGACTTTGTGCCTAGTCAGTGACTAATGTGCCTAGGTCAGTGACTTTTAGATACCTAAGTGGGATTTCAGCAGAATTTAGGCGCACAGGATGCCTAAACACGTGTTCCTTCAAGTTCTAATTAGAATGCGCTCTGCATTCTAATTAGAATACTGAAGTGTCAAACGAGGTATAGATAAAGTGTCCTGTGGCCATTTTTAAACATGTGGGGGCTCAATACATGTAATGCTACAGTGTTTTAATTAGAGAGGCTGCCTGAAAACTGTGCTAATTAAAACACCAACCTTTTCCTCCCCCTCCCCTTGACACTTTTGAGGATGTTTATAGGCAGCCTAAGTTCCAAAAAGAGATCCAGCTCAACCCTGCTCCAATGGCCACAAAACTGTTTAGACACCTGAAATTGTTTGTGAATGTTGGCATGAAAAATTTACGTGCACACCTAGATTTAGTCTGCTGATCAGGCATAGAGGAGTAGCAATGTAACCAGGATTTTTGATGTGCTGGGTTGGTGCAGGGGGAGGGCCTGCGCACC